GGGTGGGGCCTTACTGAGTTAGAGGGAGAAGAACACCAGGTCCTTGATCATGGGATGGGCTGGGGCAGAGACCATGATGTGAATAGAAATCTTTGGGGAGGACCCAGGACTAATGTGGGGACTAGTTCAAGGGCCAAAGAGGCATACAAGATCAGCATCCACACCCAGGCTAGGAGCACAACAAAGTCAGGGCAGAGGGCCATGGGATGCTGATGGTGGGGCTCTGGATGACCATTCACTCCCAGAAACACCCCTCAGAGATAGACTGGGGGAACAGAGTTCTAGGGCTCCCTGAGCCAGTGTGGAGCTGCTTCAGCCAACCTTCCCCAGTGCCCCTGGAAGGTGGGGTCACTGGGGACTTCAAACCTTGTTGAACTCAACAGGACTGAACACATCAATACGTTCAGAGAACAGCTTCTGGATGTTGCTCAAAAGGTTGGTATCCATTGGGGCACTGGATGGGGGGAGGGGGAACAAGCATTCAGAACCCACCCTGCACCTGTTATCCTTCCTCCATTCCCCCAGGGGCTACCCTGACCCGCAGACCTGGGTGTATAGCTGGGTGCATAGCGGCCCTGCTGCCGAGAGCTGCTGTACACGGAGAAGGTCCTCTTGCTGGAGTCACTGCTCTGGGCCTTGCGAACACCCTCTTCGTACAGGAGCCCCACCTGGTGGTAGAAGGAGGCACTACAAGGAGGCCGGAGCACAGGGGACCTCCAGCTCACCAGGTGCGCTGGGCAGGGGCCAAGGATACCCTAAGTTACACACTCATTTGCTAAAAGTCATGTTTGTTACAAGAATCACAGGCAGTCCAGGCTTGGTATGAAATTGGCACCAAGTCACTATTTAGTGCAGTAGGGCAAAGGTGGGACATAAAGAGTTGATACTGAGGCCCTTAATTTCTGGGTGACTCGGGACCTCTCCTTCCTCACAGACGAAATGGGGGTGATAATGCCACAATCTGGGGCTGAGGAGGAATGAGGCCATGGATGGAGGCACTGCCTGGCCCCTGCAGTCTTGATCCTCAGAGGGTTGTTTCCCCAATACCCCCAGTCTGCACCAGGGTTCCCGGAGCCAGCACCTGCACATCAATAGCCGTTGTGTCTTCTACCACCCGCTTCATGACAGCACGCACGTTCCGGGGCTCCAGGGTACTGAGCCAGTCCCGTGTCTCCACGCTCTTACGCAGCATCTGTGATATGACCAGGCCCTGCACCTTCACATAGTGGGTTAGCAGCCGTCGTGCTGTCTCCCTGGCCTCTGCACACAGCGTGCTCACGGGTGTCACTGGAGACTGGTCCTGAGCCAGGGATGCAGAGGACAGAAAAGCAGTGGGTACTGGGGGAAGCTCAGGGGCCACTGCCAACCAAGAGCTGGGCATAGGCTTGTCAAGGGGGAGGCTGGGTTGGGCACAGGCACCTGGCCTGGGTCTGACTATGAGGGCACTACCTAGCCTCCTGCATTCCCAACACCACCATCCATCCCCTATCCTGCTATGAGCTGGCAGTTCACCTGCACCAGAAACTGTTCATCAGTGAGGGTGAGAATGTAGGAGATGGTGGCCGTCTCATAGTCCAGGCAGAGGCGGGAGAGGAGCAGGAGGAGGGCAGGTGGTGTGGCACCCCCTTTCTCCCCAGGGCTGTCACAGAAGCTCTGAGCAGTCTGGCACATGGACCGGATGAAACCCACGATGAGGCCCTCACGAACGCCCTGGCTGCAGAACTCGCCCTGTGAGGAGGAAGGGCACTGATATACAGCAGGTCCCCTCTTCCAGGCAGGGGCTGCTAGTGACCCTCTGCCGGGACCCTAATTGCCCTGGTGCTTCACCAAGGGGCAGCTTTATCCAGCATTCCAGTACCCCAGAGCAGCTACTCTGCTCAGGGAAGGGACCAGCACTGGGGAACCTCTTGTAGATGCCCTTCCCACCCTCCAGGCTGTGCCAGTCTTTCTCATGACAGCCTGAAACCACATCCAGAGTGCCTTGGGGCAAGGACTGTGTGCCCTGGTAGCTACCAATCTGCAGAATAAATAAAAGAATACCCAGAAAAAGAAAAAAAAGCCCAGAGGCAGGCCATACCCGGAAGTAGGGCTTGTTGGAGAAAGAGACTTCCTTGGCGGTGAAGAGGTGTACAGCAGCCAGCGAGGCCTTGATGTGGCTCAGGATGGAGCTGGCCACATTGGCCAGCAACTCGGCCAGGCCAGGGCCTTCCTTCCCAGCCAGGCGAGGTGCAGCCAGTGCCTGCCGCACATCGGTCAGGCAGCCCAGGAAGGCTGCCCGCAGGCCTTGCAAGTGGTGGCCCAAGCGCTCCCGGGCCACTCGCTCCACGATCTCCGTGGCAGCCTCGGCCAGCCCAGCAGCAGCAAGCAGGGGCCCAGGGGCCCGCAGGCGCCGGTGGAAGCGGTCCAGTGCCCGCACCAGCAGTGAGTTGTCACTGCCACCCTGCTCCTGTGCCAGCCGCCTCTCCACCAGTGCAAAGTAGCGGCCGCCCAGCTCCCCGGCAAAGGCTGCCAGCTTCTCGGCGCCTGCCGGGCCCTGGGCTGCAAACAGCTCCTGGTAGGCTGTGGCCACCTGGCAGAGGCCACCCACAAAACCACTGCCTCCATGGTCGGTGAATTCTAACACATCAGGGGCTGGAGGAGAGGGCCCCAGCTCTGCCTCCAGGCTTCTCAGCTCTTCCTCCAGCCGCCCTCGGGCATGTGCCAGGAACTCCTCACACAGCTCCTCCGCAGGCTCACCCAAGGCCAGCAGCAGCTCCACGCACTCCGCCTGCTCAGGAGCGCCAGAGCTGCCCTCCCTGCCGGGAGGAAGATGGCAGAGAAGAGCAGGAAGACAGAATTTGGGGTGAGGCTGGGGGAGACTGGAAAGCACAGGGGTAGGATGAGGGCCCAGAGGCCACACCTGAAGCGCTGCCGTAGCTGCTGGGCCAGGCGAGCTGTGATGACCTGGCAGTCATCCTGGATGGCACGGAATGAGGGGAGGTGCTGGTACTGCTGAAGCACGGCCCGTGCGCGGCCCTGGTAGCGCACCGCCTGCCCATAGGCGCCCAGCTCCACACACTTGGTGAGACGCGAGGGCAGCTCGAAGAGGAACTGCAGCTTCCGTAGCAGAGCATGGACCCCTGGGGGGTGAGGGCGGTGGTGTTAGCCCCAAAGCCCTGAGGGTGGCCAACTTGAGCACCTTTTCTGGGGCAGGCCCACCTGCCAGCTTGGTGATGCGCTCGTGGCGGTCCTGCAGGGTGGAGCTGATGCGCGCAC